AAAGAGGAAAGAAAGAAGAGGGGGAGGAGAAAGGGGAAGAGAGAGAGAGGGGGGGAGGGAGGGAGAGAGAGAGAAAGGGACAAGAGAGAAGAGGGAGGGGGGGGGGGAGAGAGAGAAAGAGAGAGAGAGAAGAGAAACAGCCGTAGATGAGGTCAATTCCCAAAAAGGAAGTTGACAGGCATTTGCTCCAAGGCAGGCGAGCGAGAGAGGGAAGGAACAACTGCAGTGCTTTGGGGACAAATGAAAAATAATCCACGGGTCTTGGCCAGATTTTTTTTGCAATGCCGAAGAATGCATATTCAGAATACAGAATAACAGCCCTGGAAGGGACCTTGGAGGTCTCCTAGTCCATCCCTCTTGCTCAAGCAGGAGACCCTATACCTGTGATGGCGAACCTGTGGCACGCGGAGCCCTTTGTGCGGGCACGCGAGCCCCAGCCAAACTTACCTGCACTGCGCATGCGTGCGCCTCCCAGCTGATTTTCGGCCCGTTTGAGGCCATTTTCGGCCTCATGGAGGCTCGAGGGAAGCCTCTGCAGCCTCGGGAGGCTGAAAAACGGGCCTTCCGGAAATACCGGAAGTGCCGAAACGGGCCCGATTTTCAGCCTCCTGGACCTGCAGAGGCTTCCCTCGATCCTCTGGGAAGGCGAAAACAGCCTCAAACAGGCCAAAAATCAGTTGGGAGGCACGCGCATGCGCAGTGCACGTAAGGGAGGGGTTGCACGTGCATGAGCATGGGGCTGCGTTGCATTGTGGGTGCCGGCACACTTGCGCACATGCACGCTTTCAGCACATCACAACAAAAAAGGTTCGCCATCCCTGTCCTATCCCACTCTGGACCAAGGGCTGTCCAGTCTCTTGTTTAAAACCTCCAGTGTTGGAGCACCCACAATTTCTGATGACAACCTGGTTTTTTACCGGTTAATTGTTTTCACGGTCAGGAAATTTCTCCTTAGTTCTAGGTTGAAAGTCTACGGAGATTCTCTGTCATCCGGGACACGGCAGTCCCAAAGGTGCTTTTTTTCAGGAGACAACTGGACTTTCTTGTTTGTTTTTGAGGACATTTTGCTTCTCATCCAAGAAGCTTCTTCAACTCTGACGGGATGGTGGGGAACGGAAGGATTTATATTCCTTGCAGACAGAGCTGGTCATTTCCATCCTTTGAGAGGGTCACTGAGGCCACTTGGAGGTTTATCTGTGTCCTCAAGGTCACCTGAATGGTGCTCCTTCTTTTTTGCGGCCTGCAATTTTTCCCTGGAAATCCATTCCTACTCCCACTTCATCCAAAGGGTGTTCATCCCAAATTGGACTTTTTTTCTTTTGAAGACATTTCGCTTCTCCTCCAAGAAGCTTCTTCAGCTCTGACTGGATGGTAGAGAACGGAAGGATTTATACTCCTTGAAGACAGCTGGTCATTTGCATCCTTTGAGAGAGGTGCTGAGGCCACTTGAAGATTTACCTGAGTAGTGTGCATATGGTTCCTGTAGCCTCCAATTTTTCTGGGAATCCACTCAGACTCCTGCCCCATTGAAAGGGTGTTCATCTCCAAAAGCATAGCTGAAGGTCTAGGGAGATTTTCAGTCATCCTGATCATGGTTGACCCTGAGGACACAGATAAACCTCCAAGAGGCCTCAACGACCCTCTAAAAAGGATGCAAATGACCGGCTGTCTGCAAGGAGTGTAAATCCTTCCGTTCCCCACCATCCCATCAGAACTGAAGAAGCTTCTTGGATGAGAAGCGAAACGTCTTCAAAAGAAAAAAAGTCCAATTTGGGACGAACGTCCTTTGGATGAAGTGGGAGTAGGAATGGGAGTAGGAATCCATCCATCCATCCCACCCTCCCTACATCCACCCACTTCCTCCTCCCTCAACCCACCCACCCATCTCCATCCATCCATTTCTCTTTCATCCATCCATCCATCCATCCATCCATTTCTCTTTCATCCATCCATCCATCCATTTCTCCATCATCCCATCCATTTCTCCATCCAATCTACCCTCCATCCATCCATCCATCTACCCACCTCTTCCTCCCCTACTCAACCACGCTCCATCCTTCCATCCATCCATCCATTTCTCATCCGTCCATCCATTGCTCCAGCAATCCACCCATCCACCCCTTCCTCCCCCACTCACCCACCCACCTCCATCCTTCCATCCATCCCTCCCTCCTTAATCCATTTCTCATCCATCCATTGCTCCATCCATCCATCCATCCACCAACCCCATCCCCCTATTCACCCACCCACCTCCATCCATCCATCCATCTCTCCATCCATCCATCCATTTCTCATCCATCCATCCATCCATTGCTCCATCAATCCATCCATCCCCGCTTCCCCCCTACTCACCCACCCACCTCCATCCATCCATTTCTCCTTCATCCATTTCTCATCCATCCATCCATTGCCCCATCCATCCATCCATCCATCTCTCCTTCATCCATCCATCCATTTCTCATCCCTCCCTCCCTCCCTCCTTCTTCTCCTGAGAAGTAGCTGGCTGAGAGAAACCGTGCCGGCTGCACCCTCAAGCTTTAAACTAGGAAGGAGGCGCCTCCTTCCAAACCGTAACCCGGGGTTCAAGAGCCCAGCTCACCCGATTCTCGTCGTAGATGATCTGGACCAGACTGCGGTGCTTCGACTCCAGGGGTGGTGGAGAGATGGACTTCTCGGGCTCCAGCGGTTTGGCCGCTTCTTCCTCCAGCTGTTGCTGTAGAAGGAGAGGAGCAATCGGAAATCAGGCAGGGGGCGCTCTTCGGAAGTCCCCCTCTCCCAGGGACCAGCGCTCCCTGGAACGCCCCACTCACACACACACACACACACACCACAACAAATTGCCACACAGGCAGTCCTCGACTTACAACCGGTCGCTTCACGGTGGTTCAAATTTACGACAGCTTTGGAAGAAGCGACTTGTAACCCACCCAAGTTACAACCATCGCAACAACCTGGCTCGCCTTTATGACGGTTGCGGTGCCCTGGGCTTGTGACTGGGGAACTTTCCAAGTGGCTTCTTCCAAGCAGAGTTTTCAATTTGGGAAAGGGTTCGTTGAATGACCGCATGAATTCACTGAACACCACGGCAAAAACGGTTGCAACATCGGAGCCAGTCATGCAATAAACTCGCTTAACAACCAAAATTCTGGTCCCAATGCTGGCCGTTAAGTCAAGGACTGCCTGTATGAGGGCATCTGGACGCTACTGTCATTCAGGCCCAATCCTGGGAAAATCTAGGCTTTGTTGATGCTCCCAAGTCTCTAAAAGCTGCCGTGTCTCCCTGGCACATCCTCCATCATGCTATGGTGGCCCCCATGTTCTATCTGGCAAAAGGAAATGACCTCGTCACACCTAGAACCCGATCAAAATAGATTTGTGGCTATGACCAGACCTGTGATAGCGGACCTATGGCACACGTGCCACAGGTGGCGGCATGCAGAACCATTTGTGCCGGCACGCGAGCTGCAGGCAAACCTACCTGCGCTGCGCCTGCGTGCGCTTCCCAGGTGATTTTCAGCTGGTTTGAGGCAGTTTTTCGGCCTCCCGAGGCTGCAGAGGCTTCCCTCAAGCCTCCTGGAGGAGAGCGAAAAAGGCATCAAACGGGCCGAAAATCAGCTGGAAGGCACACCCACGCGCAATGCAGGTAAGGCGGGAGGGTGTTGCGCATGCATGCACAGGAAGGCGGAGTGCATTGCACTCTGGGTGCCGGCACATGCACGCGTGCACTTTCGGCACACCAGACCAAAAAGGTTCGCCATCACTGCCCTAGACCTTCTCGGGTTGAAATCTGGATGAAAAACCCTCAGCCGATCTCCGTTAACGTCGGTTTTGGGGAAGGGGAGGTCTTGTCACCTGCTTTTTTTTCAACTTGGAGATCTGCTGTTCCACCATGGTCATCTCTCGGTCCACACGGTCCATGTTCTGGATCAGCTCCTCCTTCGAGAGCCGGGTTGGGAGGAGATCCAATTCCAAATCTGAATGGGCCGAGGTGATGGGAGAAACGGGCTCCAGTTTCCCGGTGATGCCTCGATCCTGCAGGTTGGGGCCGGGGGAGGGGGAGAGAAAGGAAGTTCATGAGAAGAAAGCTTCTTCTACCTGTCTGGAGAACCTCTAGGAAACCTCTTGAACACGCGGTCAGGATTCCGGCAGTTCCCGCCATTTAAATCATGAGTCTTGAGCCAAACTTCCAAAACTTCAAAAGGATTTATTGGGAGTTAACATGTCCGGCACTGCCTGGGTGTAGCCGACTCTGAGATGCATCATTCATGGTCACCCCTTGACCCTGGTTTTCCCCTCACCCCCAGGTGTATCATAATTCATATCCTCCAATGGGACACCTCCATAGCCCAGAGTCATCAATCCTGCTCTCCAGTTAGAATTTTGCACGGCAGACACTTCAGCCTAGCTGCTATCTTTGAAAACATTTATGGAATGCAGTTTCGGTTTCCAAGCTGCTGCACTGTCCCCCCTCCCTGTCTTGGCAACTCTAAAAGGACCATAGAAATATTTTATGAGTTGATAGCCTGCCCCTTACGGTTGTTACTCAGGATCACGGATCTCCCTGTGTGACCGACCTGTCAGTCACCTAGTTACTATCTTTGAAAAACTTATTTATGGAATGCCCTTTCGATTTCCAAGCTGCCGCACTGCTCTTTCGGACCCCTTTCCCCACTCCCTTTCTGTTGGCAACTTTAAAAAGACCATAGAGTTGACACAGGCAAAGCTTCTGTCGTCTGAAGGCAGCCCACGTGGGCCTGTTGACTTGGCAACTGTCCTTCCCTCCTCACACCCAGACCCTCCATCTTTCTCCAGATGACTCCATTCTGTAACCTTAAACCAGGGAGAAACCGCCTGGCTGGCCCTCAAAACAGCTGCTTCCCTTCAGGAGATCTCATCCAAGCTGGCCCTCTCAATTTCTAACTAGCGGGGAAGAAAGACAAGACCATCATTGTCCTGTAATACCAAAGGTCACTCTCTCTGTGTCCTCCAGAAGGACCCGCAACTCCCTTCCTTACAACTCGACTTCCTTCTGTAGACAGCTGGCTGGCAGGGGGTGGGATGGTTGCCTTCTCTGAAGCCACCAGGTGTTGTGGTCCACCAGCGGCCTGCGGAGCTGGCAGCAGAGTCGGGCAGCGGGAAGGAACATGGGCCAGTCCTGGAGTCTGGGGAGGGCTCGGACGAGGGATCTGCGTCCGATACAGAGATGAGTCCAGGGCCATGTGTGAGTTATGTGCAGACGCTGGTGCCTCCAGAATCTGACATCGGGGAGGTAAAAAAAGAGGGGGAGCCTGTTCCCAGTGCGCACATGAGCAGAGCTGCCAGAAGGCAAGAACAGTTAAGACAAAAGGGAGTAAGGCTTGGAGGTGATTGGCCCCTCCCATGAGACATAAAGGAGGAGCGAAGGGACAGGAGCCTTTGCAGGAAGCAACTTTGTCCATTCTGGTCGGTTTAAATTCTGAAGCTCCATGTTGACTTCATGCTCCGTTTGGCCTTGTACAGCTAATTGGAAATCTAGTCGTTGGCAGCATTTCAAGGGAGATAAAGGTGGGTGCTTATCAGCCTTATCCTAAAAGACTGTGGCAGACTTCTGTGGGACTATTCATAAACTGTTTGGGATTCATTATGGGTGGTGAATGCATATAATTCATAGCCGTTGAAATAAAAACAAGGTTTTTGGGAACAGCGTGTGATTGTTACTGTCTCAGGAAGCCTTGGTCAGAACACCAGGGGCCAGGTCTCTCCATCATCTTGGCAGGCCCCTGAACATGTCACGCCCTGGCGGAGACTGACTCCGAGGGAGAGGAGGAACAGCCAACAGGGAGTGAAAGTTTGGCTCCGGGGGTTGTGGAGGAGGCTGGAGAAGGGCAGAGGCCAGCTGAGCAGTCAGAGGAGGACCCAGGCCCATCCCCTCTCCATCCTAGGGCACGCAGGGAGGAGAGGATAAGGGAGAGACGTGGTCTACTGGGGAGGAGAGGGCCTTGATCCTCTTCCTGGCCTGCAGCTGTGACAACTGAATAAGAGGACGGACCTGCGTATGGGCCAGTGCTGGAAACAAAGCGTGGAAATATCTCTAGTTTATGTTTCCTCTCTGAGTTTGGTGTCCTTCCCAATGTGCGTTCTGATATCAGTGGACATGTACAAGCCCTTATCTTTCCTGGTTTGTGTTGTTTTTTACTCTTTATAATTTATAGGTGTTTCCTCCTTCTTGTAACTGTTTGTGTGGGAGTTTTTTTTTGGTCTCCAGTCAAGGATATTTGTAGCTTGGAAGCAACGTGAAGGAATAAAAGGGGCTTCACCTGTTTTTTGTGACTGTGTTTATTTTGTATCCCACTCTGGGTTATCACAGAACATCTCAGATGACCTATTCATCCCCACCACCACCACCTCTCACCCCCCGGCGCACGGGATTTAGCCACCTCAGCTTCTGCCAAAGTTGAAGCATGTCCAACCTCCAACTCAGACAAACCTTCGAACAGTAAACAGCTGCTCTATCAAGGAACCACCAAGAAATACTCTCACCAACACGGACAGGGCAGGCCACTTGTATATAAACAGAGAGCAAACCCCACACCCTTCTAGCACTGATGATGTTACGTAGTTGGATCATGAAACGTCTGCAAGAAAACTACCAAGCTATGAGAGCACCAAGGAACCTACAGCCCTCCTCCTCCACAAGCCCAACCTCCTTCTAGCACTGATGATGTTACGTAGTTGGGTCGTGAAACATCTGCAAGAAAACAACCAAGCTCAGAAAGCACCAGGAACCACATAGTTGTCATCCTCCCCCCCCATCTTCTTCTCCACTCTACAAATCCCACTCCCTTTTAGCACTGATGATGTTACCTAGTTGGGTCATGAAACGTCTGTAAGAAAACCACCAAGCTCAGAGAGCACCAAGGACCCCACAGTCCTCTTCCTCCTCCCTTCCTCCTTCTGCAAACCCCATTCCTTTCTAGCACTGATGATGTTACCTAGTTGGGTCATGAAACGTCAGCAAGGGCCCCTCATTTCCACCCCGAGCTACAAACATTCTATTGATGTATGCCTATAATGAACGGGTTCTATGACACTCGTAATTCAAGGTTTCCCTGTACAGCTTCTCTTTCCAGCTTACCCTGGAGAAACCGTCTGTTCCCGCCTGGCTGAGCAGAGTCGGAGGCCTCCGCAGCGGCTCCTGTAACAGCTCCATCCGAGGCCGCTTGGTCTCAATGAATTCGATTTCCGACGGTTTGCTCAGATCCGAGAGATAGGAATGGGACTCGGCCCGAGCGTGCGTCTCCTGGGATCTGCAGGGAAGAGAGCAGAGAATGAGACAAGGAGCTCCAAGCCAATGGATTTTAAATGGGTATTTTTTTTTTAGACCGTTTCTCCCAATATAATTCGTTAAAGTGCTGGTGACCTTCTACCGCTGCACCATAAGAGAGTATTTTAACTTACTGCACCTCTGTATGGTTTGCCACTTGCACAGGGGCAGATAGAAAAGCACCCCAGAGGGTTAACATCATTGCCCAGGGGATCATGGGTTGCCCTCTCCCCTCTTTGGAAGAGCTTTAAAGCTCCCGCTGCCTTAAGAAAGTTCAAAATGTTCTCAAAGATCCATCTCATCCTGGGCACCCTTTTTTTTTGAACTATTACCATCTGGCAGATGGTACAGGAGAATAAAAACAAGGACAAATAGGCTGAAAAACGGCTTCTATCCCAGGGCAGGAGCTCTGTTGAATTCTACTGCGTAGTGCAGTGTTGGTGCTGTGTTGGGGGTTTTCGGTTCAATGTGTGGAGGGTAAAAGTTGTGTGCTTGTGTTTATTTTCATGGTCATGATGTGCACTGAAGATGGCGTTTGATTTTGTTGTACGAGGTACAATGACAATAAAGTAAACTAAACTAAAGCCATCTTTATAATCTTAAAAGAAAGCTTCACAAGCCCCAAAGGCAAACTCCAAAGTCAAACTAAGAAAGCAACAAGAATTTTTTTTTAAAAAAAAAATTATTGTATTTTATATTCATCAATAATAGCCGGCTCCTTAAGGAATCCAACATCACGGTAGGAGCAATGCAAATTATTATTATTATGAATGAAAGCAAATATATTGTCAATATATTCATGAACTGGAATAGAGCTTGATAACAAGGTCAGCCAATAAATAGGCCTAGCAACTAAGTCAGCCAATGAGAACTGTTTGGAAACTGAAACTGGAAGTAGCCTAGGTGTGGCTCTATATTAAGCTCTGCAGCTCTGAAGCTAGGTTGAATTCTGAGTCTGTCTGTTGAAATGAAACTGTTTCTCTCGCTTGCCTGCTGAACTAAAGTGAAAGAGAAACTTAACATGCTTGCTTGCTGAAGATTGGAGCTCTACTCTGAAGTTACTTGCAACATGTTTATTTCCGTCGGAGTTTGCTCTATGTTAAGACAAATCTACAACTGGTTTGTAAAATCTACTTATTACGTTTACAAAGATGTTAAATGAAGCATCAGCCATCTGTGTTTATTTTTCTGGCGCTAAATTAACGCTGCAAAACTTTGACTATATTATGTGTCCCAGGATGATGATAACGATGATGCGAGATCGAAGGTGGGTCAGTCACCAGAACCAGATATTTATTCTTCTTAACGTTCGGACTTACGGCAGAACCCATCTTCATGGTATTTCCCTCTACCAACATACAGGCTTTTGGGCTGTTCTGTGAGTCATGTTTCAGTGGAGATAAATTCCCTGAACGCCGGCATGAGTTCGAACGCTTGGAAGAGTAAATCTCTGCTCCCAGTGACCGACCCACTTTTGTGGCCTGTTGGCTGCTGGTCCATCCAGCAGCCAAATCAGAGGAGGAGGAAGAGGAGGCATGCGAGTCAGGGTCAGCATCAAGACAATCTGGGAACTCCAAGAGGGAAGAGGAAATAGAGCTGGCAGAGTATCATGCCCTTGGTGGAGTCGAGGGAGAGGCGGAACGGCCGACAGGGAGTAGAAGTGTGGCTCCGGAGGTTGTGGAGGAGGCTGGGGAAGGGTAGAGGCCGGCTGGGCAGTCAGAGGAAGACCCAGGCCCATCCCCTCTTCATCCTAGGGCATGCAAGGAGGAACAGAGAAGGGAACAACGTGGCTTACGGGAGAGGAAGCGGCCATGATCCCCCTCATTGGCTTCAGCTGGGGGGAATAGTATAAAGGAAGGCATTTAAAACACAGCATTGCTAGAAGCAAAGCATGTTTTATTTCTGGCTGAGGTTTATCTTGGTTGGCGTTCTTCCAACGGACTGTGCCTTGTTCTCTTCTTGAAGTTTGCAATTATTTATCCTGGTCTGTTTTTGAACTTTCTTCAGTGCTGTTTGTTTTGATTTTTTTACCTCTCCGTTATCTGTTCTTTGAGTTTGGACTGTATTTCTTTCTTTTGGAGACTATTTTGGAAAGAGTTTAATCTCCAACTGTGAACAATTGAACAGTGAAGCCAGGTTGGAGGCATTAAAGGAAATTTATTTATGTTTGGGAATTTATTACATGTGTGCTGTTTCCTGGGTCATCACACAGAGAGATAGAGACAGAGGTGGAGCCTGGGCCATCCGTCAACCCTCAGATGGAGAGTCTACAGCCCCCAGGTCTGGACGTGGCTGATGAGGAAGAGGAGGAACAGCTGGGTCCAGTGCCTGACACATAGATGCACAGAAGGCAGAGGAGAGGAGAGCAGTGGAAATCTATGGGCCGGTCCTTGGAACGGAAGGGCCACTGCTGCTAGCGAAACTCCACCCTAGCTCTGGGGATAAAAGGCAGGGGGAGGAAATAAAAAGGTGTGGCAGACAACTATTCCTCTCCCTGCCGGACGGACTTATTAGCCTGCGTTGAGAGAGGAACTTTTTTTACCGGGGCTGCTGGCACTCCTAATAAAGGCCAACATTTATTTAAATACAGAGGGTTTGTCGTGTTTGGGGAGGCGGGTCCAAACACCTTCGATCTCGCAAAATATTATTGTACGATGTCACAAACTCTGCCATACAGAGTCTTCAACTGACAACTATAATTGAGTCTGGCAATTAAAACCGGTTTAAGTCGTAAAGCGGATCATCGCGTGATCGTGACAGTTGTGACACGCACACTAGGGTTGCCTAGTGAATGCAATGATGGTCCAATTGTCATTGTTTTGAGCAAAAATTATGGTAACTGCAGCCACGTGACCAGTTGTCCAGCACACAGATGGTCTTTGTCTGTGTGTGTGTGTGTGAGAGAGAGAGAGGGAGAGAGAGAGAAGCGAGAGAGAGAGAAAGGGAAAGAGAGAAAGGGGCAAAGAGGGGGGGAGAGAAAGGGAGAGAGAGAAAGGGAAAGAGAGAAAGGGGCAAAGAGGGGGAGAGAGAAAGGGAGAGAGAGAAAGGGAAGGAGGAAAGAGAGAGGGAAGGAGAGAGAGAGAGGGAAAGAGAGAGGAGAGAGAGAGAGAGAGGAGAGAGGAAAAGAAAGGGAAAGAGAGAGAGGGACAGAGAGGGGGAGAGAGAGAGGGAGCGGGGAAGAGAGAGACTTCAAAGCTGGGTCCTAAATATCTTTTGGGAAGAAAAAAATCTGTTGGAACCTCAAATGCGTCCCATTTCTTTAGTCTTACCTTTCATTTCCTGGCTGAAATTCGGATAACAAGGAGGGCCTGCGTCGTTGCGGGTGTAAGAGAGATCCTGGGGGCAGGTGGGAAGTGTATTCTCTGGGATGGTGCTGATATTCCAAGAGACTCACATCCTAAAACAGACAACACAAAACCAAGTCATAAACCTTCAGGTCGAAATCATATAGATAGATAGTCCGCGACTTACAACAGTTCTTTTTGTTTTATGTGTGTGTATGTGTGTATGTATGTATGTGTATATATATATAAACATTTTGAATACAGTGTATTGTCAGGGCATTCATTTGCAGAGAAGCATAGAAAGAACATAAAGAAAAATTAATATATATACTAATAACAATAATAATAGTATAACAGTTCTGCTGATTTGGTTCTACAGAGGAATCCTTGAGTCTGTCATCTGCACCTCTATAACTGTCTGGTTTGGCTCTGCAACCCAACAGACAGACACAGACTTCAGAGAGTAATTAGGACGGCAGAAAAAACAATTACTATCAACCTGCCTTCCACTGAGGACCTGTATGTTGCACAAGTCAAAAAGAGCGCTGTGATAATATCTACATACCCCTCACATCCTGGACATAAACTGTTTCAACTCCTTCCCTCAAAACGACGCTACAGAGCCCTGCACACCAGAACAACTAGACACAATGACAGTTTTTCCCCAAACGCCATCACTCTGCTAAACAAATAATTCCCTCAAAACTGTCCAACGATTTACAAAGTCTGCACTACTATTACTATTAACCTTTTCATCACTCCTTATCACCCCTCCCCTCCCACTTGTGACTGTATGACTGTAACTTTGTCGCTTGTATCCTTACAATTTATATTGACTGTTTCCTAGTATGATTTGATTGCTTATCATATTCCTATGACTATCATTAAGTGTTGCACCTGATGATTCTTGACTGTTGACGAATGTATCTTTTCTTTTATGTACAGTGAAAGCATTTGCACCAAGACAAATTCCTTCTGTGTCCAATCACACTTGGCCAATAAAGAATTATATTCTATTTTATTCCATTCCATTCTATTCCAACAGAATTATTTTAACTAGATTTCTCTTTATATTAGCTTATTTGTGATTCTGTTAGTTATATTGGCACATTTTTAATTATAAACCGTCTTTATATTTAATTCATACATAGCAATTATCTTTCTTCATGTAATTTCTACCTCTTATCTCTAGCCACTCATAAAATCTATTCCATGTTAAATAATATTCTGTGTCTTCTTGTCTTTTATTTTTAATATCCATCTCTGTACAGTCTAATATTTTCCAAATTACATCCTCATCAGATGAAGTGTCCTCATTTTCCCAATATTGTGCAAATACAATCCTCGTTGCTAATATATGCAAAACTAAATCTATAGTTCCCTTATCATAGCTCCTTTTGTTGGGCATTGCACCCAACAAGAATATTTCTGGTTTCAGATCTATATGTTGCCTGATCATCTTGTCCAACCATGTATGTATTTTCGTCCAATATTTTCTTGCTTTCATTCAGGTCCACCACATATGATAATAAATACCTGGGATCTGATGACACTTCCAACACTTGGCGGACATATTTGCTAACATTTTTGCTAATCTTGCCGGTGACAAGTGCCACCTATAAAACATTTTATACAGATTTTCTTTATATGCAGTAGCCTTTGTCAGTTTGTAATCCCTATCCCAAAGTTTTTGCCAATTATCTAATTCTATAGTACAATCAAAAAATGTTGCCAGTACAATCGTTGTTTCTTTGACGTATTCCTTTTCCATTTTATAACTTAATAAGTAATTACATATTTTTTGATCAGTTTTATCTGCCACTAATAATATCTTATCAAATGTTGTTGGTTCTTTGTAAAACGACGCTATAGAGCCCTGCACACCAGAACAACTAGACACAACGACAGTTTTCCCCAAACGCCATCACTCTGCTAAACATGTTTTTGCATCTTTCTTGTATCTTGACTGCATTTGCAGTTGCAACCACCAAAGCTAATTCTTTTCTTTCCGCAGGGCCAGAACTGGAAACCAAGGGGTTGGGTTTTCTGTAACCTCCTGATGAAGCCTCAGCAGAGAAACTTAAGAGTGATGCAACAAGAGAGGAAACCCACAGTTTGAGGAAACATCTTCAGTGCACGGGAGAGTCTGGAGAACTTTGAGGTACTGTGAGGGCTCCATAATGTATACATCTAGGTCAAAAGTACTCAGGAAAAAAAGGAGAAGTAAAGAAAACCCCTAGTCAAACCACTCTTTGGTCAAAAGAGAAACTTCCTCAAAATTAACGGTCATCTTTAGAGTCAAAACCACATCAACTGTACCAAGATATTCTCCAGAAGTTTACATCTTGGTTAAGATTTCCTTCCTGGTCTGTTTTCTTTTTCCCACAGTACTTGAGTTATCCCTGCTCTGCCTTCATTTCAAGACACTGTATCTCTGTCTAGACCACTTCCCCACCCTCAGACTCCCACTCCCACAGGGTCTGACCTCAGGTTTGCACTTTAGGCCCAACTCCAGGTTGTGTTGTGGTTCGCCGGCAACCGGTGCATACGGCAGAGCTATCGGACAGTGAGGGGAACCAGTCCGGGAATCTGGGGAGGACTCGGATGAGGGTCCTGCATCCGATGCAGAGATGGGGTCAGGACCATCTGGGAGTGGGGTGCTGACTCTGGAGCCTCCGGATTCTGGCAGCAGCGAGGCAGAGGAACAGCGGGAGCCTGTTCCCAGGGTGCGTGTGTGCAGGGCTGCTAGAAGGCGAGAGCAGCTGAAGCAGAAGGGGCAACTCGGGAGTAAGGCTGGGAGGTGATTGCCTCTCCCATAAGGGATAAAAGTCAGACCTCGATGACGAAGAGCTTTACAGGAAGCAAAGTAGTTCAATATATCCTGAGTCCTTCTTGAAAGCTCTGCAGATTCTGGTCGTTTTTTTCTGGTACTAATTAATTTGGATACGTCTGTTTTTGGCAGCATTCCACAGCACTGACAGGGGTGTGCTTATCTGTTGAAGTTAGTTTTGGCTGTGAATGGAAATAATTCTCAGCGTTGCATTAAAATAGGCTTTGCTTTTAAAACAAGTTTGTGTTTAATTACGTTTGACAAAGCCTGAGTCAGAACAGGTTGCCTTAACGACACACTTCCTGACAGAAGCTACAATGGGTTGGCTTTGCAAAATATCTTAAGCGCCCTGTCATGGCTAACTAACCCAATAAAGGGCTGGACTCTACCCAATGTTCTAACCCAGATCAAATTGCAAATGGCCATAGATTTCTTTGCAACTCAATTAAGCCATTCCTTAATTCGTCTGGGAATAAAAAGACGTTACCTAGTTTGGGTCCTGAAATTTCTTCAGGAAAGCAGCCAAGCTCAGAGAGCACCAATGACCCCTCATTTCAACCCTGAGTTACACATATTCTCTTCTGTTGGCACTGATGATGTTACCTAGTTGGGCAATGAAACGTCTGCAAGCAAACTTGGGAGAACACCAAGGACCTAACAGTTGAACCTTCAGCTACAAACATCTGTTGGTACTGATGTTAGGCAATGAAATGCCTACGAGTAACCATCCAAGTTCAGAGAACACCAAGGACTCCACAGTTGAACCCTGAGCTACAAATATTCTCTTCTATTAGTAGTGGTGATGTTACCTAGTTGGGTCATGAAATCACCTTCATTTAACAGCCCCATAATCCCTTGCAAGGTGGAGTCTGGGCAACTGAATGGAGCTAGCAGATTGTTTTAATGGCCAGATGCCCTTCCTGTCGCCGTATTCCTTCTCCTCCTGCTTCCATTGATGATATTACCTAGTTGGGTCATGAAATGTCTGCAAGAAAACCTCCAAACTCAGAAACACCAAGGACCCCCCAGTTCAACCCTGAGCTACAAATGTTCTCCTTATATAGAATTAGGATAGGATAGGATAGGATAGGGTAGGGTAGGGTAAGGTAAGGTAGGATAGGATAGGATAGGATAGGATAGGATCTGGAAGACCTTGGAGGTCTTCTAGTCCAGCCCCCTGCTCAGAATACAGAATGGAATGGAATATAAAACAGAATAGGGAGTACAGTAGAGTAGAGTAGAGTAGAGTAGAGTAGAATAGAATAGGAAAGAATACAGTAGAATAGAATAGAATAGGAAAGAATAAAGTAGAGTAGAATAGAATAGACTAGAATAGGAAAGAGTAGAGTAGAGTAGAGTAAACAGAGTTGGAATAGACTTTGGAGGTCTTCTAGTCCAGCCCCCTGATCAGAATACAGAATAGAATGGAATATAAAATAAAATAGGGAGTAGAGTAGAGTAGAGTAGAGTAGAGTAGAGTAAACAGAGTTGGAAGAGACTTTGGAGGTCTTCTAGTCCAACCCCCCTGCCTAGGCAAGTTAATTCATACACTCCTCTATAGCGATTCTAAGTGCCTGGAGATGCCACCTCATTCACCTCAAAAGCTTCCAAAGGGTACCTTAGAACCCTAGAATCACAGCACTGGGAGGGACCCCAGGTCTTCTAGTCCAACCCCTTGCTCAAGCATGAGACCTTACGCCATCCCGATCAAGTGGTTGTCCATCCAGTCTAGTTTTGAAAACCTCCAA